TATATATATATATATATATATTCAAGATATATGTTTTTTTTCCTAACTCTTGAGATAGAGGACACTTGTCATAAAAAGCACTATTATATTAGAGTATCATTATGATTTATGAAATTAATACTTTCTTAGCAACTTTAGACATACAACTACAGGAGAATAATAACATATTTAAGAAAATATAATAAAAATATTAATTCTCAATACTGCATTAGATCCTCAAGATACATATCGACCATTCAAATTTGATGATATTTGTCAACTTATAAATAATTTCAATCATGAAGGCTTCATAGATACAAAATAGCTTACACTAAAAAATTCAATTGGAACATTTTAAAATTGAAACTTATCAGAAGAAAAATTTTTAGAATCTCAAAAGATTTTTATTTATGTCAAATATTAACTAAAGAAAATCAGGCATATATCATCTATTGATTATTTAATAGATTGATTTTCACACTGCTTATTTCGACAGCAACAACTAAACACACATTTTAAACTATAAAGACTGTCAATAAATGGTTAAAGAAATATAATCAAAGATGATTTTCTTGAGAGTTCACTGATAACATATATTAAAAAGAAAATTGTTAAGATTTAGAATAGAGCAACATTATATATGTTTAGATTTGGAATAGAGCATTAAAAAGAAAATTGTTAAGATTTAGAATAGAGCAACATAATATATGTTTAGATTTGGAATAGAGCAACATAATATTTGTTATAAGATTTGGAATAGAGCAACATAATATTATTGATAGAATGAGAGGTATTTAAACCTAATTATAATAGAAAGAACAAAAGAAATAAATAAAACATAAAAAAAAAATAAATAGGAAATAAATAAAACAAAATAAAATAAATACGAAATAGATAAACAGAGAATAAAAGTTAATAATTGTCATTATAAATATAATACTCCCCCTAAGATTGAAGCATAGACGTCGGTCATGTTTAACTTGGATTTCAGGTCATCCAACAAAGAATAGGGAAGATTCTTGGTGAGGAAGTCCGTTAGTTAATCATTGGAGGACAAAAAAAAAAAAACAAATTTCCCCTGACTCAATCTTTTTCTTAATGAAGAGTCAGTTAATATCCACATGTTTGGTAAGATCATGCTTGACTGGATTGTGGGCAATATTTATGGCGACCTTATTATCACATAATAGCTGCAGCGGGACAAAGGTTGGTATACGAAGTTCATAGAGCATGATGCGTAACCAGAAAGCTTCATAGATCCCCAAGGACATGGATCAGAATTCAGTTTCAGCACTGCTCCGGGCAACCACAGATTGTTTTGTGCTTTTCCACGTAACAAGATTTCCCCATATAAATGAGCAATCCCCCGAGGTGGAACGTCAATCATACACCGACCCAACCCAATTAGCATATGTAACCTCTGATTTGTCTTTTAAAATATAGACTCACGTCATCCGAATGTGGTCATCAATCAAAGTCAGAAACCACCATTTATTAGTGTAGCTCGAAATACGAGAGGGTCCTCATATGTTACTGTGAATGAGAGAGAAATGAGCATAAGGTGTGTAAGTGTGGGGTGGCTAATGGATTAGATGATATTTGGCTAACTGACATATCTCACAATTGAAATCAGAAAGTCTTTTATTAGAAAACATCAAAGGATATAAATTTTTTAAATATTTAAAATTAAGATAACCCAAAAGACAATGCAAAAACCAAGATAAACTAGTGTGTGCTCACTCTCCATGCTCCTCTTGAAAGTAGTAGAGTCCAGTTACCTTCTTAGTAGTTCTAATCATCCTCCCCAAATGAAGGTCCTGAAAACACAACCATCACAAGAGAAAATAGTAACACAATCAATATCATTCATCAACTTGATGACAGATAACAAGTTACATTGCAATAAGGAAACATGTAAAACAAACTCTAAAATTAGACCAGTCGTTAAAACAACCAACCCTTTACTAGTAATGAAACTACAAGAGTCACAGGCAATTCTGATTGTATTTTTCCTAGAGCACGGATAGTAAGTCGAGAAAGCTTGTGAACATCCATTCATGAGATCTGTGACACCTAAATCAATAATCCACGAACTAGAGGACAAAAAAACAGTGAGTCATGAGAAAAGTAACTTGTCGGATGTGGGAGGTCAACCAACCCACACATAATTTATTGGCTCAAAGTACCTTGGTTAATTGCTCCATTTGGTTTTTCAAGAATTCAAAGAATTGCGGGATGTTTCAGGCAGGAGTCCATAGAACCATGGTAATTCGAATATCGTCGTAAGACCCTTGGTAGCAGAGGATTTGACCGAAGGTTTGCATGAGTTTGCCGCGAAGTAACACTTATCCCGAGTGTGATTAGGTTTATGAAAGTAATTATAAGTGAGGTGACAGGTCCGATGTGACATTGTTGACCTCGCTTTCGGTCGAGATGTAGTTTTCCCATCCTTAGTAGCCTAGGATCTAGTCGTAGGACCTTTATGTCGACTACTCCTAGAAAACTAGTGAAGAAACCCTCCCCGTTAGCAATTCTAGACTTTTCTTCGCTCGACTTGACGTTCCATGTAGTAGTCTTGACCGCTATTGCTTAGCAGGTAAGACTACTCCGAAGGAACTCAGGGAGCATTCCTATATGACTGTCGGCCTTAGGATTGACTCTACTCGTTGATTTGGCGCCGCTGCGCTCTTCGCCGTCCTGTTAAATCGAATTCGAGCCAAAATCTTGATAGGATTTGTTTGGATTTGGCCCGCGCCCCGTTTTTAACCCGATCGACGACGAGGCTGCCCGGACGACTCCGGATGACGAAACGGACTGCGCTGACGCATCCGGAATGTCGATTTTGCTTAGGAAAGATGTTTGTTTCATCGCGAGGGCATTTCTGGAGGAGGAGATGTGTTTAAGTATTATTTATAAAAATAAATAATATTTTATTATTATAAATAAAACTTATAAACCTAATACCTAATTTCATTTCCCCTCTCCCGTCCGCCTCTCGCTCATGCGTCTGCCCTAAGCCGCTGTGGTCCCTCGCGTGACCCCGCGAGCTCAAGCCCCCCCCCCCCCCCTCATCTTTCGTTGGCTCCGCGAGCCGCAAACAGTATGGCCGAGCCCCTTGCGCTCGATCTCTGCGGGATTTTTTTTAATCATTGGCTTCTTCTTCCCTTAGCGTATATCAGAGCTCCTCTGTGAAGCTTCAAGGGGCCAAAAATCATTTTCAGAGGAGGACCTTTCTCTATTACTTTTCTCTACTCACTCTCTTAAGTTTTTTTTTGAACTCTCCTTGTTGCTGGAGAGAGGTGTTGGCTAGGGAATACTTTTCTGCAACTCCTTTTGTGATTCTACTTTAAGGAGGTACTTCCCTCTCCCCCTATATGTTGCCTGTGTTCGGCCCTGCTTTTTACCGAGCCCTTGCGCTTTATTTGTGTTCGTCCCTGTTCTCTGCCGAGCCCCGTTAGCATGCTAGAATATAAAGTTTACTATTTGTCTCATTCCTAAACATGTTCTAACTTACTCTTTATACATTTGTTATGTGGGAATGGCATTTAAAAGTTTGAGGGTGTGTATTTCCTTCTCCCTCCCTTTCTCTATACTTTACTGGCTCTCGGTTATGCCCTTGCCGAGCCTCTGATGATGATCTTGTGGTGTGGTGCTAGAAATTAGATTTGGTTAAGCACTGTGGCATGCTATTAATTCTTTCTTTTACTTTGCTTATCTAAAGTGCTGAAGTCATGGCATGTTTCCTACTTTCTGAGGCATATTTATATTAGAAACAATTAAAAGGATGACCTTGAAATAATTTGGCCCCTCTCATGAGCATGTTAGTATATGTATTCTGAAACTTTCATTCACTTTCACTAAAAACATGTGGTAGTTCTAGGTTGAATACCTTAAAGGCATGGGGATATTTTTCTAACTCTCATTGTGGCCTAACTTTTAAATCTCAATTGCAGTTGGACTTTTAAGCCCTTGTTGGGTTCAGGTTTTGGCCTTACTTGGCTCGGTTTGGTCTTTAACTAGTCTGGAATTTGGTAAAAAAACTTGGTTTGGATTTGGTTTTGTGTTGAATCTCAGTTCTTGCCTATTGGGGGTTCTTCCTTTTTCTTGCTTTAGTGGCTCGGGTTTTGAGCTTTTGTTGGCTTTGGCTTTAGATTGGGAGCCCGATTTTTGCCTTAAGAGTGATTGAAAGTTGATTTATGAGGAAGTTAGGTTCTTAATCTCTGTTGGAGTTTTGCTTTAGCCCTTATTCGAGAGTTGGATTGACCCTAGTTGGAGGCTTGGGTTTGCTTCGTTTCGCCCCTGCCCGAGAGGCGGATGTGGGTTTTGGCTTTCACTGACCTTAGCTCCTACCCGTAGGACCTATTGGAGTTTGTTGAATTTAATTTAGCCCCTCGTGTTGGGCTTGAATCATTTGAATGATTGTAGGTGGATCAAATTTGTTACTTTGAGAGATTGGTGATGTTTTGTACTCTCTTATGTATATCAAAACTTTTATGGAATTGATTTGAGTCGCCTCGGCCGTAAGTCTTCCCTTTACCTTTGCCTCGTGTCTTGGCTTAGGTCTTGGCTGTAAGCCTTGCTTACAATGCCTTGGAGTTGGTTTGGACTGCACTATTTGTCGTGGCCATGAGTCCTTCCCTTCTTTAAGTCCTAACAGTGGGTCTCTCTCTTTTATATTGGCCTTGTTTTGCCTTGGCCGTGAGTCACCTGTTGGAGTTTATTCGGGCTGGAGCTAGATGGTGTTGATATTGGCTTTTACCTGTGAATTTTCTTGGCTTTACCTCACTTAGGTCGAGGATCTTGGTAGCTGTCTTCCTTTCTCTACTAATACAGGCCGTGGGTCTTACACCTCAGTGCATTGAAAAAATTTCGTATTTGTTTGATGTGTGAGGCTGTGAATTAATTTGGAGTTGGGATATTTTGATATCAACTTGGGGTTTGGAGGATTTGCAAGCCTTATTTGGTAGAACATTTGGTTGATTTGATTAATTTTATGTCTTTGGGGTTTGAAAAATCAGCGCAAAATAGCCCTTTATGTTTGTTAGGAAAGACCTTGGGCCCCACTCTTTCAGGTCTTTTCGATAGTAGTTTTGAGAACTGATATATTCTCTTTTTCGGTGTTTTAGATGGATCAGTGTCTCCTCTCTCTCACCCCATTTTTGTTTTTTCTTTCCTTGCTTCTTGGTTCGATTTTCGAAGCTTATGTCTGACGCATAAGTGTCCACGTATAGCCTTTTGCTATGTGTAAAACCATCAAGCAAGGTCGCAAGTAGTTTGTTTTGGGGCGTAGGATGGTGATGATAAAGACACACTGAAGATAGAGCAGAAAGATGTCATATCCCATAACATCAAGATTCAGGTATTTGATGAACAATAGAATAATGATATCCTTCACCGACATAAGTCTAGCGGGAGTTGGCTCGAACCTCCTCAAGTGGTTGGCAGTCCCACGCCCGACAGAGTAATCGACTTGTGGACAATAAAAATTGTTAAAACTTATTTCAAAAAAAATAAAAATATATTTTTCGCTATAAAATAAAATTTGATAATCTCCTTTTTGAGACCTATGTGCATGTCAAAAACATAAATTTTAAAATACATTTTAAAATTGATTGTCCACCTGACGAATATTTGTTTAGGCTGGGAAATAGCCCTCTAGGTGAGGTTCAGACACACTTCTAGACGAGTGGCGGGTTCTATACATTCAGGTGACCGAGTAGCCTTCATGGACCCTCGAGTATAAATACATAGCTGAGCCTAGCCCCATACGAGTGCTTGCGGTCCCCCTCACCCGAACCTTTTTTTTGAGTCAAGCCCCACATGAGTGCTTGCGGTCCCCCTTACCCGAACCTTTTTTTGTTTTATCGAAGCTTTGGACAGGGCACTCGTGTTTCTTTTCTTTGCTTTTGGGATTTCTCCAAGATTTTTGAGGTTTTCTTACTTAAGTCTTTTCTCGTTGATTTTCTAGAATTTTTTTTGTCATGAATCGTTGTTACACTCCTTCGGATTTTCTGGATAACGTTTCTTCCAGACTTCGCTTTTTGCGATGCATTTCAGCTTGCTATATTTAAGAAACAGCGGATCGCACGGGCGTACCTGTTTATAACTGCTACTGTCATGTACAACATGTTATACTATTTTTGTTTCTACCTGCTACTGTTCTTCATGTACAACATGCATGTTATACTATTCATGTTTTATACTATTCATGTTTTTACCTGCTACTGTCCTGTACAGCATGTTATATTATTTCTGTTTCTACCTGCTATTGTTCTTCCTGTACAACATGTTATACTATTCATGTTTTTACCTGCTACTATATTGTACAATATGTTATACTATTTTTGTTTCTACCTGCTACCGTTCTACATGCATCTTACTATTTTTTCTGTACTGCACATTCTATATTATATAGCCTAAAGCATGCCTTCTTTTTATATAGGATGTTTAGAGGACTATTACCATAGAGTCGTTTGATTTGACATCATAACTGAACATCCTAGAAAACTTAAACACGTCACAACAAGGAGCTTGGAACTAGCGCGGTGGGCAGCACGACAATCTTCAACAGCAGAACATGTCTTCCCCAGCTAAACAATTTCTTTCCTAGAAATTAAAACAAAAATTCATAGGATTTCGAGTTTGTTCGCCTAGTGCAACATAAATCCTCAAATCTTTTCGTTAGGCATTTGTATAGCTCTGCTATACGATCTAAGCCCTAACTCGTTTTAGGATTCTGAGGTTGTCGTTCGTTACGACCTAAATCATCGCACCTTCTACGCTATTTGTGTGATCAGTTCACACGAATATAAGCCCTAATTAAATAAAATTGGCATTAAATAAAATTGGCAGGATGGAAATACTTGAATATTTTTCCTCGAAACTGAAGCCAAACCATAGGGTAGACTGGGAAGTCACCGAAGATCTCCTCTGGATCTGTGGCATCCCCTAGTTCTTCCTTCTTTGGATTCTACAATAAATGTTTCAAGTTTGAACAATTCCCTTTTGCGCACATCTTTGTCCGATTTCGTTGAAAAGTTCTATCCTTTTGAAGTCCTTGAAGATAATTTTTCCTGATTTTTATCGAGAGTGTTCTTAATTAATTTCGGTCATTTAAGATTTAATTAACTATAGGAACTTGTCCTTATAAGAAACTTTTCCGAACCCAGCTTAAAATAAACCCTATTCAATAATAAACCCTATTCGCTTAAAATAAACCCTATTCAATTTTTCATATTAAATAGGGAAATTTGTCGGCAAATAAAACGGTTTCGCAGACCAAACGAACGTCATATATATCTTAGCTTATTTGATATACAAGGTTTGAGGTAAAGCGCTCTTTCATTTAAACTATGAAAAATATGGGGTCAGTTTGATTTTTTATATTTGATTTTAAAACTTAAATCTATATGTAAATTAAAAACGTCCTTCCGAAGCGGGCGACGGGATTTCGATTCCGGTGACCGACAGCTTCTTACAGGCAACAACAACACAAACCCCACACCACCAGCTTTTTATTGCCGACAGACATGTACAAGGGCTGAGTACCATTCGGGATCAAGGCAAACAATTCGGGTGGAGAGGTAAAAGTGTCGAGCATAGCAAGTCTCTTACTCTCTTCGCGACGAATCTCTGTAAAAGCAGTGCGACCGGAAGGAAGAGAGTCCAGACTAAGAATACAGCCCCAGACTTCGTCAAAGTCTTTATTAAGGCCATCCAAGAATTGGAACATGCGATCCTTTTCTACAATTTTCTGGAAGAGAGGTCGGTAGGAGAATCTCAAATGTAGTCGTAGTACAAGTCACGTTTCATCCATAGTGCAACAAAGTCATTATAGTAGTGGGTCACAGTTTTTAACCCCTGTTTTGCCTCCCAGATTTTCTTAGACACCTCATAAAGTTGGTCAGAGTTTCCTACATCCAAGTAAGCATAAAGGACTGTTGTCCATATGACACTAGCTGAAAGGATAAACATATATGAACGACCAATCGAAATCTCCATGGAGTTAACCAGCCATGACATGACCATGAAATTCTCCACTTCCCAAGCTTGATACGTCGGGTCAGTCTTTGGAGGCTCACGAATCATACCTGTGAAGTGGTCGAATTTCTCGCATCCTTTGATGAAAAAAGACAGCTTGTGACCATTCGAGAAAGTTACTTTTGTTTATTTTATCGATTGTGATAAAAAAGTTCATGGTTTCTAGTCCCTCCAATTTACAAGGGAGCGGATCGATCCTCCGGTGGAATCATGAACACATTCTGAAGGTGGCTCAGCATTGGAGGAATCTGCATAATTTCGACTAAGCCAAAAGAGATGTGGTTGTGATTTTGAGTCATCGACGAAATCCAGTAGAGAGCAGGCGCTAGAATGTAACAAGAATTATGCTGCAGGAGGGGAGAACAACGAGGGAGACGGCATTTGCTGAATCGGCGGCTTGCGCGTGCAGAAGGAAGGCGGAGGAGACCGGCGACAACTCCTGTAGACTTCTGAGAAGGCCAGCGGCTGTAGGGAACTGACAACTGGAAGAGGCTAATGGCTGCGATCCCTTATGGGAGGCCCTGCAGGGAGTGGTGGCGGCCTGTATCTAGAGTTAGGCTCTCATACCATATTGAGATTTGGAATAGACTAGCAGAATATTATTATAAAATAAGCGGTATTTAAACTCAATTACAATCAACAAAACAAAGGAAACAAATAAAAGAGAATAAAACAAATAGGAAAGAAATAAAACAGAACAAAACAAATATGAAATACATAAAGAAGAAATAAAAGCTAATAATAAGAAATAACGGCTAGGGATTGTCGTTATAAATATAATATCATACATTTAAAATCCATTCTATTTTGATGATAAATGAACACGTAAGTTTTTACCAATCAAAATTAATTCATAAAGTTTGACGGACACTTACCTCATCCCTGCTTAATTGGATGTATCGAGCCACCGAGCCGAAATTAAAATGATCCACACTGACAAAATGAGGCCCGGCAAAATCCAGGATCACACCATCCTCTCGACCGATGCCAATATGGCCGATGAACGGCAGGAACCATGAGACGAGGGGCAGCGGCGTCCACACGATGCAGCAGGGGAACCTCGCTTTCCTTGGATCTATTTGCTCGAGCGGAGGGGTTTGATGAAATAATTTTTCAACATCAGTTGCTGCTTCAAACTCCATGACTTTATCATACAATGACAGATAACTCTGCAAATAACAAAATAAAATTAGTATGTATGTTCTTTAGATAAAATGTACATTATAAAGATAAATTGGGATGAAAATAAAATTCTGAACATAATCCAATGAAGGAATCAAAATCAAAAGGTTAGTAAACTTTCGAGTAAGAACTCCCTAGCATTAAGTTTATCATAGGAGCATTTACATAGATACCACCCAATTCCTATGTATTTGCATATCAAACAACTAAACTTTAATTCTTACAGTAATACAACCCAAATCTTTCGTATCACATAAAAAAAAACAACCATTTTAACCTTTAAAAAGGTGACATACACATTTTCATGTATGGATAAGGTGGTATGTATGTAAATATTGAAAATTAGGTGTTAGAGATGTCAATGCATTGTAATTGAGTGGTACTTATGCAAATCTTCCAAATTTCATGATGGTATCTTACAGGTATTTAGCAATTAAGGTGTGTTGTATTCAGAAAATCCAGCTACAATATAATAGGGAAATTTACATAAATACCACACAATTCTTATGTATTTATATATCTAACACCTAAAGTTTAATGTTTACACTCATAACACTTCAGTTTCATAAACATGTGCATGAAAAATGTATTTTCCTTTTAAAAAGGTAGTGATAGTGGTATTTTTTATGTAATGTTAAAAAATTTGAGTGCTATGCATGTAAATATGAATGTCTAGGCGTCAGAGTGTAAATACATAAGACTTGTGTGGTATATATGTAAATGCCTCTATAAGAAATGTAAGACTATTTGCACACTCTCAGATAACATCTGATGAACGTGAAGCCCCTCAGAAGAAAATCAGCCCTCATAATTCCAGTAGGGAAGATCTCAACAGCCAATATCAGTGCAATTATCATCAACAAATCACGAAGATTTTCCAACTGGAATATGAATCATTTTAGCAGATATTGGACTTGTAATTAAAAGAATTAATAATGAATCAGGTATCATAACCATACACAAAAAAATCACCTAGACCGGGTTCGGCCCACCCAATAAAGATCAAAATAAGTCAACTCATTTCAACTTGGTCTCAGAGCCAACAAAGCATAGTTGCAAGCGTGAAACCACTCGCCCTTGGAATTCAATCCTGAGAGTCGACTAGTTCAAGTCATCCAAGCAACTAGGCATGGCGATTCGTTAGTACTCAACCAAACCAGGTGAAGTCGGACAATCGCTTCACATATATCTACTCGTTATTTGAGAACTTTCAAATCCTTCTCAGACTCTATTATGTAATTTAATCAACAACAACAACAACAACAACAACAAAGCCTTAATCCCACTACATGGGGTCGGCTACATGAATCCTTTTTCTCCAATGCGTCCTATTTAGTGTCATATTTTCATTTAGTTCTAGTAAATTAAGATCATTTTTAATACAATAAGCCCAAGTCTTCATAGGTCTACCTCTGCCTTTCTTAACACAAGTCGAATTTAAAACATCTACTCTCCTAATCGGATCATCTAATGGTCGACGTTTAATATGACCAAACCATCTAAGACGACTTTCTCTAATTTTGTCTATCACAGGAGCTACACCAACCCTATCACGAATATATTCATTCCGCATTTTGTCTCTAAGTGTAAAGCCACTCATCCACCTAATCATTCTCATCTCGGCAACACTTAACTTATTATTATGCTTCTCTTTTAAATGCCAACATTCAGCCCGAAGCATTCCTCCACTTCAACCAACCAACTTGAATTCTACTATTAACATCCCCATCTATATCACCATCGCTTTGGACAACGGACCCAAGATATCTAAATCGTTCACACCTTTTAATAATTTGATCACCCAAAGTCACACTTCTGTCACTAGAGCTATTACTACAAAAATTACATTCCATGTATTTAGTTTTAGTTCTACTTAAACGAAGGCCTTTAGACTCCAATGTAGACCTCCATAATTCAAGTTTTTCTTGGGCTTTTTCTCTCGTTTTATCCACGAGAAGAATATCATCAGCAAAAAGCATACAAGAGACCCTATTATGTAATTTAATCAATTTACTTAAATGCAACAAGAGACATTACTTATAGCACTAAACCTCAACCTTCATCTATAAATTAAGAATCATAATGTAAATGAAGGAGAATGATATCATCATCTTAAATTCGCCAAAAATCATTAGGTTTGTGGACGCTAAACTTCATCTTCTACAAGAAATGAGACGAAGATTTAGAAACAATTCACGAGCATGCTCTCGAGAGAAATTGCAGAAGCATGAACTTCGACAACTTTAAATTTACACAATTAGAATTTTACAAACGAAAGATGACTATAGTCAACCATGTCACCTACTTCGAGTTAGCCATCTCATTGTTGAATAGCAATAATGTTATAAGATGTTGGTTATTCTTTACAACCATGAAGAAGTTGTCATTTAGACTCCCGCAAAAAAGTATTGTCTCTTTCACCAAATTCAAAAAGCAATTCATAAATCAATCTATGAGAGCCAAGAGCCTTTTAAAATTTCTCAAGCAATTTTAAAGATGATGCATGGTTAGGGCAACAACAACGACAACAAACCTTTATCCCACTAAGTGGGGTCGGCTACATGAATCTTTTTTCTCCATTACGTCCTATTGAGTGTCATATTTTTATTTAATTTTAATAAATTAAGATCATTTTTTATACAATATGTCCAAGTCTTTCTAAGTCTACCTCTGTTTTTTTTAATATAAGTTGAATATAAAACATCTACTCTCCTAATCGGATCATCAGACGGTCGACGTTTAATGTGATCAAATCATCGACTCTCTCTAATTTTGTCCGTCACTGGAGCTACACCAACCCTATCACAGATATATTCATTTCGCATTTGTCTCTAAGTGAAAAGCCACTCATCCACCTAATCATTCTCATCTCGGTAACACCTAGCTTAGTTTTATGCTTCTCTTTTAAAGATCAACATTCAGCGCCTTGCAAATAACTAAAATTATTTATTATTCATTTTTAATGGGAGATTCTATAACTAAAATTTTGGAGTATATAGTTCCCTGGCAGAATGTTCTTAATATCTTGGAGAAGTACCATTTAAATATGCACTCAACTTGAAGCAACCTACAATAATGGTCAAAGATTTAAAAAACTCATCGATTTTCATGTAAATATAGAATATACCATAATGTAAGACCCCAAGAAATTGAAATTTGGAACTCATTAAAAACTTGCAGCAACGTAACCAGCATCAACCAAAGAAATATCAAAGTCTCTTCAACACTACAAAGATTGGAGCTCATCGTAACTACTAGCAACCAGCAAATTAGCATTATATGAGCTGAGCAAAAGAATCATTACCAACCCTGCATTAGAGTAATAAATATCTTATTTACACTCCTTTACAAGTATGGCGTGCAATAATGGTGAATAATATTAAAGACAAAGAATACTTCTTTCGGTCGTCAATACCATATACTCAAACTAGCTACAGCATGGTGGATAGTTAACATTGCGACTTAATTAAGAAATTCATCGAAGGGAAAAAAAACTGGTAAGAATTTGTATTTGCTCCTCCTAGGCGATGACTATAAAACGAAAGAGAAATAAGCCAACCACAACTCAAGCCATTCAATTAACAAGAAGTATTTCATAAAAAAACAGTTGTAATAAGCATTTTGTATTCAAAGAAAAACATGCACTACTGTATTTTGTATTGAACTTTTGAGTAAGAAAATCTTTTAATATATTTTATTGATTTCTTTGTATAGAAAAAACTTCAACATGAAGAATTAAATCAACTCTGGCTATACCTGAAAACTCAATATTTGGTATTTGCTATTCGGCATTACTAAGGGAACTTGATATTCATTCATTGGCAGTACTCCAGGAACTCGATATTTGCTACTCAATGAACTCGGTATTTGTTACTCAGCATTAATCATAAGATTGATATTCATTACTCAGCGTTACTAGTGGAATTCAAAATGTGATAACACTACAACTTCATATATCTTGACTACTCAATGATAAAAAGCTCAAAATCTGAAAATCAAAATTCATTTATTCAATACTAAGTTAGCTATACTTCATATTTAAAACTAAAAACACTGAAGACTTGGATTAAAAATAAAAGAAACTTGAATCCAAGATGCAACTCGATAGGTTAAACAAGAGCTACATCAACATAGGCTTGAGATCTAATCCCAAACTAATCCTTGCAGCTAAAAGTCCAGAAGTAGAAGGCCAATCTATGCTTAACAAGGTCAACTTAACATACTGAAATAAGTTTCATCCAAGGAATCAGTAAACATCTTGATGAGCTTAGTAAAGCAATGATTCTGGTAATTATCATGCTTATAAATTCAATAATTCATGAATTCATTAATATTTAAACTCAAAAATTAATCAAATAGCTACTTGGGGGCTCAAATTGTCCCTCAAATTCACAAAATTCGTGTATCATGCTAAACTTCCAAGTATATGAAAAATAATTATAGAAATCAAACTCAGCCCTTTGCAGCAAGATCTGCACTGAGATTGAGAATAATCTTAAGTGACAAATATGGATGGCTATAGTAAAGTAATCATCGAACTCTTGCTGTCGATGCAACGTCTTAAAATTGTACTCAATCACCAGTGACGAAAACTCCCAATTCGCCTTCGTCATTGAAAAATAACTCAGACTAGAGTAGAAGGAAGTCTCAAATTATAGAGCAAAGAAAAGTCACCTCAAAGCGATTGATATAAGAGAAGTTCAAATTTCAAATAATCATTGTAAACTACAAATATGTTATTTATAGAAGAAATCAAAGAAGCCGGAGGGCCTTGATGTCAAATCCAAGGCAAAATCATTGTGTTCATGTCAAATATCTACACTTAATTACATGGAGATTTAAAAAGACATCAATTTGAGTATTAAAGGATTATCCGAAATCAATGTCAACGTCAACATCACCAACGATGAAATTGAACAAAATATATCCCATCCTATCAACCTCAAGTTATAAATAAGTTATGGTGTCAAATAAGTAACCCATCTTCTGGGAAGTATCGTAAGCAAAATTGGAGAGTGCAATTCAAGACAAGAAGTACTTCAACAGCCAACTCCACTAAACACAAAACATCATTTATCAGATACATCCAAATGTTATGCTTTTCACTGTGACGGCGGTTACAACATGAATGATTGCTAGCATCTTCACAATTGAACTCTTACTCTCGACGCAGTGCCTTAAAATTCTACTCAGTCAGCAGTAGAAAATCTCCCAATTCGCCTTCTTCATTGAAAAAAAACTCAGACTAGGGTAGAAGGAAGTCTCAAATTAGAGCAGCGAGAAATCACCTCTGAGTGATTGATGTAAAAGAAGTTAAAGTGTCAAATGAATTACAAAGATGTTATTTATAGAAGAAATCAAAGAAGTCGGAGGGTCGATGTCAAATTCAAGGCAAAATCATTGTGTTCATGTCAAAGATTTGCACTTAATTACACTAAGGTTTAAATAGACATCAATTTGAGTAAGTCAAAGGATTATCTGAAATCAATGTCAACATCGACATCACCAATGACAAATTGAACATAAAAATCTCTCATCTTATCAACCTCAAGTTATAAAAAAGTTCTTGTGCCAAATAAATACCCCATCTACACTCTTGTGAAGTATCGTAACCAAAATTGGTGAGTGCAATTCAAGACAAGTACTTCAACAACCAACTCCACTAAACACATAACATCATTATGAGATGCATCCAAATATGATGCTTTTCACTATGACCATGTTTACAGCATGAATGATTGCTAGCATCTTCACAATCTAATTATTTTATTTATTTAAGAAAAAAAGAACAAAGCAACACCCACACGAGTCAAAAAAATAGCAAGAGTCATTCTATTGAATGTTTGTAACAAGTTTTAGTAAAAAAGAAAAGTGTGCTTTACAAAATTTATAGTTTATTTATGTTTTTGGATAAAAACTAGTTCTGAGGCATTGACATGATTTCTTTTTACAAAAAAAAAATTGTTTTGACAAGAAGAACACTACTTGTCTATAAAACTTGTTTCAATCATACTTTGGGAACTTATCTAAGAACAATGCCAATGAACTCAGCAAACTCGTTCAAGAAAATTGATAATATTGTCAAAGAACTAATCCGGGGAACTTGACAATATGATTGAGGAACCCGTCTAAGGAACTGAATAATATGCTCAAGTACCTTGTTAAAGGCTTGATATTTAAATCTGCCGAGTTCCTTGAATAGATTAAATTAAAAGTGAAATTAGAGTGATCTCAATTTAGGGTGTGTGAAGTTTAAAACTTAAGAGACTTTTATCTATAGAAGAAATATAACCCTCAAGAAGATGGACAATATGCACAAAGCAAAGTTACCTTAATGCTTAACTAAAAGTATGGATTTTATTCAAGGAATTAGTAAATTCTAACAAGCGAAGTAATATAATAATCTTGCTTATTGGACCAAAGTTCATACCCTTTAAAACTAGACAAAATAACAATTTATCTATTCACTATGCGGCTAATGTTTTTAATGGTTTATGATTTTATGGCTTCCCATAAAATCCCATAAGTTAAGCTCAAGGTTAAAATCCTAAGTATTTAAAGCACAAAAAGCCAAGGCTTGAAATTCGAACTCTCCCATTGTGACAACCTCTATACCAAGAAAGAATAAAGTACTTTCTAATAGTAAACCAAGAGATGGTAGCACCCTGAAGTGAGACCCATCCAAGACAAAAAAGAATAACACATTAAGGTAAAAGATCGAATATGGCTTGATGGTGATATATTCTACGTGTTGACTTGTTTATTATACATTAGTAAAACTACTAAATATCAAGTCGGCATATTATTTCAAATCATCATTTCATCATTCTTTTTTTGCTTTCTTATTGCTAAAAATTTACTCAAAGTATACAAGCAATATATAAATTAAATAAAGATCATTCGAGTTAATATTTTATTTACTAACAAAAGTTTACAATTCACCAAAAAAAAAGTCAAACAATCATAAAAAAAATGGGAATTGAAGAATCATTCATTTAAAAAGTATCGACTGCCCTCCTTCTTGGAAGACGCTTTGTCGATGATCTAGTTCAAGTTAATATAATAAAAAGCCCATAAACCTTGCTATACATCGTTTATCACACCATGCATTTTCAGAACATTAAAAACAAAACATAATTTTTTCTTCATATTTGGCTTTGATCTCATCTCGTTGTGCCTCAAAATCCATTAACCCATTTATAAATACAAATTTAGAAGGTTGAGAAGTTGAGTCAACATTATCTTCATGTGATTCCTTCAAAGACTCCTCCAACACCACTATACTACCTTGAAAAGAAAGTATGGGCATTAAACTCTAACCCTTATAAGAAAGTAAATTGCATTACCCAGTTTTCAAATAAACACAATCTTCCAACAAGAACCACTAAGACTAAAACCTAAGAATTTGAAAATAATCCATAATTCACAGTCCCCAAACATCACACAATGCGTGCCTGCACTAAACATGAATTATCTGCATGCCAAAAATAATATTGTAACCTCAAGCCCCGTATAACAATACTAGCAAATTTAATCCATCAATGGTAAAGATCATGAATTCCTCCCCCAAAAAAACAAAATCAAAACAGTAGCCCTAACTGATCTTAATGAAACTAGCAAGACTTCAAATTAGGGCAGAATAGCAAAAATAATTTGTTACCAAAGGAGATTTAAGTTACCGGCGGAAGCTGTAGATGAGAGGACGAGACGATACAGATAGGAGATAGTACTGGACGGTGTAATAAGGGGAAGCTGAGATAACCACAGATCAAAAAGAGCTTAAGATGGAAAAAATAATATGATGACAGAGGCGATGATAGGTTGCGATTTTGGGACTGCGCCGCTAGGGTAAGGAAGCAGGGAGAGGAGAGGAAGCTGGGAAGATCCACATCGGCATGGCGTCGGGCGAGAAAGCTTGGAAATTTGCCTTTGGAACTTTTACATATATACCACATCATTCTTGGTATTTACATATTCATTTAATTTTCATTATTTAGAAAAAATAAACCTAATGTAAGTTACTACTCAAGACCATTTTATCTTCAGTTATTGCTAATATTGGGAATGTCACTAATTTTGTGACTAATTTAAATCCCATTTATGTAGAAAATTTTGAGTAAGTAAGACATACACAGCTCTGAATACGTTCGAGGTTATTCAGAGAGTATTGAGAGGTTATAGGTAGGTTACAGAAAGATTACATGGGGTATAACGTGGATATAACCCACCAGTACCCTCTGAATAACCTTCTACATACGCAGCTCTCAATACGTCTTACGTACACAAATTTTCTGCCATTTATGTCACTAATATGAATCTTGCAAAAAAATTACCTTCCTCTTCTTCTCTTGTTTCCTCAAGGGTGAGAAAAATTATATTATTTATATTTATTTGAATAGTTTGTTATATTCTTTTTCTTAATGTTACTCTAAAATAACTTCTTAGAATGTTCATCAACTTAATAATGAAACTCATGTCGTAGATTGTAAGAATCTTTTGTTAAGTTTTAAATAGTTATTTTTCTGGTCATCAACCTATCACGGTCTCATTGGGAAATGCTTCTACTTTACATTGTAGATATATGTTTAAAAATTACTAGTCTTTTTATGATTTTCCTATTAATTGTTGTCTTTTCTATTTTCTAATGTTGGGTCTGGAATTATATTTTCTTTTCTTTCTTTCTTTTTTTCTTTGTGTGAGTTGTATACATTTGTGGCTCACTATTATATTTCAGCATAAGCTGGGTGTGACCCTCACATTTTCCCAAAAAAAAAAATAAATAAATAAAACCTTAAGGGGCCAACTATTTATGTTTATTTAATATTTTAAGAGCTCGTGCAATCAATCAATGGTGAAGCTGAAACAAAGATCTTAATTTTTCAACTATCATCTCCTCAAGATGTGCATTTTAAATTTTGTTTTTTTTAAATTTAAATATATTTTTGCCCGATAAATTAAAATGTAATCATCAACGAAGATTGCAAGTTAAAATAAAGATGAGACTAATGGAGAATAGGTGCAAAACTAAGGGCCCGTTTGGGGCAGCTTATTTGGTGCGGTGACATTTTAAAAAGTCACATGGTCTGTTTGTGTAAATTGCATTTTGGCAGCTTATGCGTTTTCAAAATGCAGAAAACAACATTTTCATACCGCACCTATCTAGGTGTAGTGGGAGCTCATTGACAACGGTCTGACTTTTTTCAAAAAAACAAAAACTTGTAATAGTCACCGTACCTAGTTTATCAGCAGATTATTTAACAAACTACAAATGCCCCAAACAAACCCTAAATAAGAGTTCAAAATCTTGTTTACACGTTAAATAATAAATCACATTTAATATCATATTGTATATGTCATGTTCCAAACCTGAAAAGCGGTATACCCAGACAACGTAAGGCGTGATGAAAGGATTTAAATTTATTTTGTGTTCTCAAAAGAATATATTGTATGCAAACATTAATCAAATAAACAAGAAAATATAAATTTTATTTTATTTTATAAATGAAATTCAACAAATCATACACATGAAAGGAAAAAAAAACTAAATGGGAATTGAAATGAAAATAACTACATAAACCTAAAAAAAATACAATATCTAATATGAAACTCAAAGTTGTCCAAAATAAATGTAAATTTGTAAAGCTTGCTTCGGTAGAGATGGTAATGCAAGTGGTTGAATAGAATTTGCTCTATGGAAATATAAATAAGTGAGTCTGACAAATTAAACTCAGTAAATAATAATTATTTATTAAAGCAAGAACGACAAAAAGACATGGGGCATACAATATAGATAATGAAAAGGGACAATTTAACATATGCATAATAAAATTTACAATAGTAGAAAATGCTCATGATCATGAATATGATTCACTTAAACGCATGCACTTACTAAACAAATATTTACATTCAAAACATGTGTGTTTATAAATATAAAATAAATCACTATTTTAACACTATGTGATAATGTGCAAATGTAGTAGGTGTGTGTGTGTGAGTATATTACTAAATGATATTTATTAGTATTATTATTCATTATCCACATGATTAAAATAAAGATATAAATTTAATCAACATTAATTGAAATTTAACCATTTAAACTAGATTATTATAACCTAACAAAAAAAGAAATTTATATGACATAATCATCCGCGCCCACGCACACATGGACATATATTTATCATAAGTAAATATATAAAAAAGGGAAGGAAGTGAAAAAAAAAATGGAGAACGAGAGGGCAAAATTTTATTATTCTATCGAATGTCATTGAGCACAAATAGCAGTCAGTGATAATGGTGCTATGTTGTAGGATGCGAAGGATTCAAGTTGTTTGATGCCCTCGTCAATGCTCTTTTTAAATAGAGAAGGTGAAGATGCGACTGAGCAAATTGGTAAGGCAGCAAGCCTGAATAGGATGTGATCAGAAAGGGTGGCACAATGAGGGAAATCATGGAAGACATATATAAAAAAAAAGATATCGTGTGATCATGGCTTAGAAAGTAAAAGAATGAAATTCTTTCCTCTTACAATATATACAACAATCTCATACATACTTTTCTCGAATCTAGTCAAAAACTTGCTTAAGCTATACTCAAAGTTGTTTGAATCTTGCTCGAACTTTAGTCAAGCCATGCTTGAAGTTTGCTCGAACCATGTTCTAAGTACGAATATGGTTGGAGCAAGTTTCTAACATGATTCAAATATAGTTTGAACTTTAAACATGATTCTAATAACTTCAAAAAGCTAGTTTCAATTCTTAATCATTACATTAAGAATTGAAAGGTTTTCTTATGAGGATATATGAAAATGAGCAAAAGTCATGTATCTATTCATAAATACTCATGCAGAGACAATAATTTTAAGGATATACATTGAATAAAGGATTTATGTAAAACATTACAAGAGATGATATATGAAAATTAGATGTATGCTATCTTAGTCATGGAAGAAGTTTTTGAAGGGGTTGATAAGGATATGATACATTATAGGACTCTTGTACAAAAGATGGATGCTTTAACTTAATACACTATTATATGATATGCCTTATTATTGTAGTACTAGGAATGTGAAACCTCAGAATTAAAGAGAAAACATATAAATTATCTAAAAGCGCTAATGATTTTAAGCTTGGAGAGTAATTAGGTGCTTGTGGGTCGGTGGTGGTGGCAGCTAGAAGCAGCTGCAGCGACAGCCAAGGATGGACAGAGTTGGTTGGGGGCAAGGGCAACTGGAGTTGGATGGATCAGTGGAACAGGATGCTGGGCTAAAACTCCCTCTTCTGTGTGCTCTAGTTTTCCTCTTGCTCATAGTTTGGGTTTCCTCTCATGAGGGGGATAGGACTCTATTTATAATTTATGGACAAAGAAGGAATCTTAACCATTATTGATCAGACGATCTAGATAGATCTCATTGATTGTACAACATTCGATGAATATTTGAGTGTCTTAATGATGTCGAAATCGAGTGATCTTAGGCTCTTTGGATTTGCCTTATTAAGACACTAAATTTGGTTGTAAGCTTGTCAAAGTCAGTCTGTTTGACCTTCTAATTATGCCCAAAAAGACTAAAAAAGTGATTTAATTGTTTGATTCAGGCTTGATTTTAGTCGAGTTGAACAAAATTTGGTATCGTTGGAACCGTCTCGTTAAGCGGGTCAGTTTGACTGTAAGTTTGTTGAATCAATATTGGATGAATATTAATCAAAATTTGAGTATTTCTCATTTAAAAAAATTTTCTCGAGATCTATCTCCTGCCTTGAGATTTATGTCGGAGGATGAAAATTTTTTGATGGGGGTATCAATTATAATAAAAATTTTATGAATTAAGGACATAAATACAAATATAATTTATTTATTGAGAATTTTGCATGCACACCACACAATTTTTATCTATTTATAATATATGAGCTAAAGGCTGATATTTACATTTATAAAACTTTGATGTTAAAATTTATGTTGATAATGTGTAATTCACTTTTAAAAATTTAGTAATAGTAATATATTTTATATATTTGAGTGGCATGTATGTAAATTAATATGAAAGTTTAGGGATTAATATGTAAATATATAAGTAATTAACTCCATAATTTAGGTAACCTACTATTTGGATGCCCCATTGATGCCAATTGAGTAAATAAGTAATTAATTCCAATAAATTGGGCATAAATTATAATGATTATTATTTATTATTTATTTTTTGGTTTCTTATAGGGAAGATGGGCGGTTAACATTCCGATTTCAAACCGAGCTGAGGTCGAGTCGTGGCATAAAATAGGCTCGTAGCTCGTTATAATTGAATTCGAGCTAGCTTGACTCAAAAATGAATCTAGCACGATCCGACTTGAAATCAAAACGAGCTTGTTCAAATCGAGTTATTTGAATCCATTCCAACTTGAAATCGGCTTGATCCGATTCAAAATCGAAATAATTTGACTCAAATTGAGTTATTGGATCAGTTTCAGCTCTAAATCGACGTGTAATTTGTAATATTTGATTTTAGCATTATTTGTGCTCCCGCTTTCGTGAAAAATAACTCCAAGCCCCAAAAAAAAAATTATTACATCAGTACTACGTACGTAGAGTAACGTGCGTAGCCACTAAAATCACGCCACGACACCCCACGCGAAAGAAAAAAAAAAACCGCGCAGTAACACGGGGAATATTCCCCCCGTGTTATTCATGTATTATTGTGTGTTATTCATTGTTATTCATGTGTTATTGTGTCTCATGTGTTATTGTGTCATGGGAATATTCATGGTGTTATAATAACACAATAACACATCAATAACACATGAATAACACACAATAACAAAATCGTGGATTAGTTGAGAAATATGATTAAACTTTTTATATATGCCATTATTTATTTATTTATTTATTTATTTATAAATAATATTTAAATTTTAGTAGTTATTAATGTAACACTTTCATATTGGAATCACATACAAAATTTAACATATGATGTTAAAAATTTAAATATTTTATCAATTAATATAGAAGTTATACCCGAACGTGTAATATTTATAAAAAAACATTTAAACTTTATTTTTTTACATTTATGTCCTCCCAATCTTTCCTACACCTAAAATTTATTATGCACTTAACTTTATAATTTGAAATACACATTTTCATGCACCGAGGAAGGGTTATATATGTAAAAATTGAATTTTAAGTGTTTGATATGCAAATACATAGGAATTTAGTGGTATGCATTTAAATCTTAAAAGAAAAATGATTTTTTTTTAATAAATTATTAAATTTTAAGCATCATTTTTTTATTTAGTCATATGTTCAATTATAAAATTGTCCCTAAAGAAATCGCGCATTTTTTGTCCGGACACCTGATGTATCTCTACGTTTATTTCTGAATTATTTTTAAGTTATTTTCAATAATCCCGAAATAACCCAGAAATAACCTAAAAATAAAGACCGCGGGTTATTTCGGGATTACTGAAAATAGCCTAGAAATAACCTGAAAATAACTCAGGAATACCCTGCGCCGCACGTAGAGCTACGTCAGGAGTCCGCACAGAAAAAATTTGTGCTAAAGAAGACATTTGCACATAAGAAGCGAGAAAAACAGAATATTACATTTTTATTTTTATTTGTTTTGGTAGATTTAGATACAAACCACTCAATTCCTATGTTTTTTTCATATCTAATACCTAAAATTTAATATTTACATGCATAACATCTGCCTATGTTTGAAAAGCTATCATGTTCTAAAATGTAAAATGATGATATTTTTTTATATGATATAAAAAAATAAATTTTAGATGTCAAAAACATAAATATATAAGAATTAGGCAAGAAAAAGTATTAGTGTCGAGTTCGTATACTTGCGAACTTTGTATACATCAATATTGTATATTACAACTAATATAATACATATATTTGAAGTCTGCATGCATATAATATTCTCTCTGTAAATGCTCATCTTTTTTAAAAAGAATATTTCGTTCGGATGTCCGCACGTCCGGACTGTCAATTAACTACCGCTACGCGATGTCGCCCGTCAATGATGTGTCTGATGACGTGATACTCGATGATTGACCGTCCGGATGTACAGAGGATTGACCAATGCGTTACCGATTTGAGCACCATTTTTAATGAATCCTGCAATTATAATTAATGCAAAGTAAGAGTGCCAAAATACAATTTCCCCAATTTCAATATTATGAATAAGTGCTATAAATTGTTGAGACCGACGGGTCGTGCGGTATCTATTGGATTTCTTCAGCGTTTCTCAGAGATTCAGAGAAGCAAAGGTTCGGCGATGGCGGAGGAGGGAACGGTGATCGGGTGCCACAGCGTCGATCAGTGGAACAAGCATCTCGAGCTCGCCATTGAAACCAAAAAGCTGGTAAAATAAAAAAAAATCCCCAAAAATTTCTCTCTTTTTCGTGTTCTCGGAGGAGATTTTGTTGTTTGGGAGCAGGGCTGTGAAGTCCATCTAAGTCATGGAATGTTTACTTCGATTGAATTTGGATTAGGGTTAATCTGATTTCTATTAGTTCATGAATCTATGCCGAGTTTGTTGATTTTGGTCCGATCAAAGCCGAGCTTATTGATCGGAGGTTTGTATGAGTACAAAATCTATTTAAATTTCTAGCGATTTTGATTTTGTAGCCGAATTGAAAGCCTTGACGGAATCTACCTGTAATTTCTGATGGATCAATTCCTGATGCTTGTTTTGAAAGCTTCCCCCTATTCTTTATTCTTTTAGGGTAATGATTTGATTTGAATAAGCTTGCAAATTTTCAGTAGATAACACAATAAGGGTAGTATTTTGGCACCCTTCTGAATATCTTTTCTAAAATTTTGAATTTTTTAGGCATAGATTTGATTATTGTTAATTGCAGTAATTATTCTGGGTCATGCCATGGTAAGCCAGAAATCCCTTTTTCTATGATTTTGTTGATTGCAGAATTGAAGGAGTTAAACATCTGTAAATTTATATTTGTTTTGGTAAGTTTCTGCAGTAAAGATTGTGATCATGCATGTAAATGGTTAATTTTGTAGCCATAATAGGAAATGGTTTTATATAGCAATGAATAAATCAGTCTGTCTCAATTAAATGTTACCATAAGTAAGTTTTCATTATTTTTTGCAAGTAAATGTAAAATTGCATATCGCATGCCAAGTTTTTGTTATGTTAATCCTTATGTTTTTCATCTTCAAAAGAAAAAAAAAATGTTTTTTATCCTCATGAAATTTACATTTGTTTAAATTTTCTCTTACCATAAGGGATCCTTCTATTTGAATTATGTTATTTGCAAATAGCAAAATAATCATTTTTTTTTCTCTTTTAGTTGGTCATGGCATCTATATATGCAAAAAACTCCTCTTATTTTTTTTATTTAAATAACTTACAACTTTAGAGCACTATTTTCCTTTCTTTTTAAGGCTAAATAATTTTATTTGTGAGTTTTTCTCTCTAATTTAAAGTGACCAAATGATTTTATTGATTTCTAAATTATGTGTTTATAGTGACAAGGTAATCTCAAGTATATTTTTTATTGATGGTATAATTATATTCAGTTAAACTTCTATTCAAGTAAGCTGTAAATTAGATTAATGGCCAATGGGTAACTAGTTCAGAAGATAGAAATCATAAAAATATCATTTTTAAGAATGAAGATATGATTTGATTTTTGTTTGTATTATATTACTAATTATCAATCAATATTATTAGAAGATAACATGATGCTTGATATGTTGTGTAACTATATACATGTAAATATGATGATTATATTATTGCAAAATCAATTATAGCTTTTCTCATCACATTAGCCTACATATCCACTCATAATTAATAATGGTCCTCATTTTCTCAAACATATATCGTAGTAATCCATCAAAATTTCTCAATCTCACTTCTTAAAACCATCTTTCTACTTAAATTTGAGTCTAGAATTAATTACATTTAGATCATCCTCACCAATAATTAAATGCAATATAATCACTTTATCATTAAGCATGTTCACTTCTACAATTTAAACTTTAAACTCCCTACCACTAATCTGTAAGCTCATTTCATCTTCCCAACATACAAAAGCTACAAAAATTTCCCACCTTTTTTGAAAAAAATCTCAATATTTTTTGTTATTTTCATTATTTTAACTTCTTGTAAACATGTGATTTTATTATTCTTTTTTTAGTCAATTTGTCTACTAACTTTGTTTCAGTGGAGGAGGCTCTAGCCTCTAAGTTCCTTTGGAGTGGGTTTGTGCAATGTTTTATTAATAGCAAACTTTACATACATACCACTCAATTCCTATGTATTTTTACATATCTAACACCTAAACTTTAATTTTTACATATATATGCCACCTTGCCTTTGCATGAAACTGTGTATTTCACTTCATAAAAGTTAAAGTAGTAGTACATTTGATATGATATGAAAGATTTTGTTGGTTTAAATGATAAAAGTAATGTTTAGATGTTATATATGTAAATAGGAATTGGTTGGTATATATGTAAATGCCCCTTAATGCAGCTCTGCATGCTGCCCACTGCTGTTGCTGGCTTCTTTAAGAATAAGGAAGATAAGATTGACATACATTCCCTTAACTCCTATGCATTTACATATCTAACTCCTAAACTTCAATTTTTACATAGATGTCACCTTACATATGCATGAAAAGATGTATTTTACTTTTTAGAAGTCAAAATAGTGATATTTTTTATATGATATGAAAGATTTCGGGGGTATAAATGTGAAAAGCAAAGTTTATATGTTAGATATTTAAATACGTAAGAATTGTGTGGTATGCATGTAAATGCCAATAAGATAAAATAATTAATTATTTATAATTTTTATTGAAATCAATTGTACTTCTCTGCTACCAGATACAGAAGCTTCATCCTAAGAACAAAAATGCCTAATTGGAATTACTTTCTCTTATAGTTCTTAAAAAATGGATTTTTCTGTTTGACTACAGGCTGTTGTTGACTTTACCGCTTCATGGTGCGGGCCCTGCCGTACGATTGCTCCGATTTTCACCGAACTGGCCAAGAAATTTCCAGAAGTTCTCTTCCTTAAGGTTGATGTTGATGAACTGAAGGTGAGGAGCATTTTGTTCAGCAGTCTGTGATCATTATGAATTATTTTTTTTTCAAAAAAAATTGGATCTGCAGATCTGACCAAATTTTTGGTTTGGATAAGTTGATTGTTGTTCGATTTAATTTGGGGAAAAGTGTCAAAATGGTCCATTGATCATTTTAGTCCTACAGTCTATGTGTCAATTTAGTCGTAGGGAGAACTATTTTAGTCAATATTAAATGAGCCTATGGACTAATCAGACACTTATAAAGACTCTCGAACTAAAATGGCACAATGTAAATAATCACGAGACTATTTTGCATGCTAGACCAGACTAACCGGTTCGACCGTGAACCGGTCATTCAACCGACTCAGTCAAATCTTAGAACAGTTTATGCGTAGAGGCGGAAGTAAATTGGGTAGAATTGGGGTTGAATTAAAGAGCCCGTGAATTGGTCTTGTTTCTAAAGAGCCGGTTAATTCAAATTTTATTCAATTTTAGTCTTTGATTTTATCGGATGACCATAAACAAGATAATTAAATTAAAAAAAAAAGGAAAATATGATGTCTTAAAATCTTCATTTAGAATATTATTCAAAATATTCAAAAGCATCACATTAATTAAAGAATTATTTATTGAATTGATAAAAATGATATTAATTTGTCATTATTTTATTATTTAAATTATATTAAAATAATTAAAATATTTATTATATCATCCAGTTCAACCTTTGATTTAACCCTGGTTGAATCGTAGTACTTCGAACATTTACTTCTTCGAGTTCAATATCTTGTCCGGTTTTCACAACCTTGCTATTTTGGCATTGTAATATTTACTTTGTGATGAGTATAATATAAGAGAAATTAATGAAAATTTCCATTATACTCTTCTCAACGCAAATCCAGCCTTATTGAAACTTATGCTAATAAAAAAGAAAGAAACATTTATATACAAACAACTCAAATTTTAGATATCTACATATCCAATCTCTAAACTTCAATTTTTTCATGCATACCATCTCTCATATCCATAAAACTATTTATTATAAGTTTTAGAAGTTAAAATGATAGTGCTTTTGATGTGATATGAAAGATTTAGGCAGTATAAACGTAAAAAAAGCATAATTTGTGTGCTAGATATGGATATGCATAATATAGCAAGCTATGCTTTAAAATTTTTATTTCTAACATTGCTGCTGCAACTATCAGTCTGTCGCGCAAGATTGGGCAATCGAGGCGATGCCTACCTTCATCTTCCTGAAAGATGGGACGATCATCGACAAGATCGTCGGTGCCAACAAAGACGAGCTGCCCAAGAAGATTGAACTGCATCAGAACAAGAACTAATGCTTGCTGGTTTGTCTTCGGTATATTGCTATTACCTATATGCTTAATCACCTTTTGAATTTTATGCAATATTTCACAGTTGATGCTTTACTGGATGGCTATAAAACTGTAATGTTTAACATATGATTATGTGGTTTATTAAATGAACTCATTTATGTTTTGCTTTTCAGACTGCTTTCATGCTTTTGTTTGTGTGTTATTTTCTTGTTGCTTTTTAGAAATCAGATTGTCAGTTTGATAGTTTTAAGAAAGTTATTGTCGTATTTGTCTGAAAAATAAATTGTTTCTAAGGGGCATTTGCATGCATAGCACATAATTCTTATGTATTTACATGTCTCAAGTCTAAACTTGCATATCTACACTGCATAGCTCTCAAACTTTTAATATTGCATCAAAAATAGAACTATTACTACTTTTTAGAAGTGAAACACTCCTTTCATGCATTAGTTTAAAATACTAAAGTGCAATGTATGTAAATATGAAAGTTTGGGTGTGAGATATGTAAATACATAAGAATTGTGTGCTATTTCCCTAAAAAAAAATTGTTGTCTCAAATCTTCATAACTACTTTAGCAAAAGCTGATGCTGTCCCAAACAGATTATTTCCGTTTGGGGCAGCTTATTTGGTGAGGTGACGTTTTGAAAACGTACCTGACCTGTTTGGGTAAACTGTGTTTTGGCAGCTTATACGTTTTCAAAACGCTGAAAATAATGTTTTCACACTGCAACTATCTAGGTGCGGTGGTAGCTTTCTGACTGCGATCTGACTTTTTAAAAAAAATTAAAAAATATAGTAGTCACCGCACCTAGCTTATCGACAGATTTTTTTTAATCAACTTATCAGCAGATTATTAAATAAGCTGCAGCTGACCCAAAGGGTCTGTTGTTTCCTTCACTTAAAGACTGCTTATTCTTTATAGAAAGACTTACATTCATGCAGCTTAATTTCTATCAATTTACATATTGAATGCCTAAACATTAACTTTTATTGCATACATGTCGTGTCGTCTTATTTATGCATGAAAAAATAAAAAATATATTTCACTTTTTTATTTCACTTTTTTAAAGTTAAAATGGAGGTATTTTTATGTGATATGAAAGATATTAGTGATATAAATGTAAACATGTTAGAAATGTAAATACTAAGTGGAAATATATATACTTTAACTTTCTACATGTATATCAACCAAATCTTTTATATGATATAAAAAATTTCTTTCATGCATGAAAGATGTGGTGTGGGTGGATGTGTAAGTTTACGTGGATAGATATCTAAATATAGAGGAATTTAGTGATATGTATGTAAATCTTCCTTTTTTGTTTTTGTTATGTCTTTTTGTATAATTTTGTTTGGAAACATGAGTGAAATGAATATGTTTATGCAAATCACACAAATTATTAAGGGGATCTTTTTTTTTTTTTTTTTTCTTTCCGGGAAATGTAAGCCTAAAGGGCATACATGATTCTAACCTGCAATCTAACATGGAAGATTACACCCTCAACAACTGCATCACGTATAGGGCTGTAAATGAGTCGAGCTTAAGCAAGCTCATGTTCGGCTCACTTGAAATTGCCCGTGTTCGAAATCAGTTCGTGTTCAAAAATGGCTTGTAAATTGTGTGTTTGTGTCAGCTCGATTTATATATTCTTGTTCTTGTTCGGGTCGAAATTAACTTGTTAAAATTAATTCAAAAAAGTAGATGTAGTGTTTGATTCGAACATAGATCAAATCTATGCGAAAGAAGACGCAAAATCACATTACCATTCAAATTGTTATGAATTATATTTAGATATAATTAACCCGTTAAAATTAATTAAAAAAAAATAGATGTAGTGTTTGATTTGAACCTGGATCAAATCTATGCAAAAAAAGACGCAGAATCACATTACCATTCAAGTTGTTATGAATTAAAATTAGATATAAAAAATGTAATATATTATTATATAAATAATTATATGATTTTTTTTCGAGTCAAAACGAGTCGAACACGAGCAAACAAAGAGTTGTTCGTGTTCGACTCGTTGAAAATTCGAGCTTAAGAAATTGTTTCTGTTTGGTTCTTTTGTTTAACAAACAAGTTGAGCACGAGCTACTGAACAAGCCGAACACGTGTTGTTCGCGAACAACGAGCTTTTTTGACGGCCCTAACCAATGATAATTACAACATAATTGATTTTCATTAAATTTGAATATCATGAAATTGCAAATTTTGTTTTATTTTTATAAAATTAACGGAGCAAATTTTTTAATACCAACAAGTAGCTATTATCTCAATTCTTACGATAACAAAACAATAATATAAATAAAAAAAATAGGGATATTTATATATATAACATATGAAACTTATGTGTATGCATATCTAACCCCTAAATTTTCATATTTATATGTATAACCCAAATGTTTAATATAAGACATCAAAAATATCATTATCTTTAACATCTTTGATGAGAAAGACAATGTAGAATGCATAGGTTTAGAACACCAAAATATTATAGATGTAAATATCAAAATTTAGACTTACCCGTGACGTAGAAGTTGAAGTGTTTAATTTTTCATGGTGAAGCCGCACGAAGATTTAATTAAAAAATTTAATTATTTATAATATGATAAATTTGCCCCCCCCTCGAAAATAACACTGGTTCCGCCTCTGCCATAACACGAGCTCCAAAATAAAGCTCATATAAAGGAACAAACTTAACTTAATAAGGAAAAGGAAATACAACTTCGACTAACAAAAACTTCAAGCTAGTTAAGTTATGGATGACTTTTAATCGAAGTTTGAATATTTCTTGCTCAAAATTTATCTTGAAAGATTGGTATTGTGGCTCAAGATTGGTGTCTGATGTATGAAAGTACATATTTTCTTAACTTTCAAGAAAGAAAATGTTTGAGTGTACTTAATCGCAAACATGGGCACATCATGATCTTATATTTAAGATGCTCTAAAATCAACGGCTAAGATTCCCTTCTCCTCTCCAAACAAAAACTCCTCCGAAAAACTTGGAAACATATCTCCCTCATATTACCAAAATACCCTTCCACGCGGCTTCAGCTTTTTTTATTTTATTTTTATATATATATAAAACCCCTTCTCCCTTCTTCTTCTTCTTCATCGCGCGTCTCCGGTGCTTTCTCTCTCTACTCCTCGTTCTCTCCTCCGGCCATGGCGAAGTACGTGGAGCTTTTCGACATGGGCGCGAGAATAGCAGCTCGATTCCATTCCCACTGCCCCCACACCGCACGCCTCTACTATCACCCCCCCACCCCCGCTTCGCCCACCGCCGAAGATGCAGAAATCGCCGGAACCACAACCAGCGCCTCCGCCGCCGCCGCAAAAGCTCCGGCGAAAGGATTTTGCAGTAAAAACGCCGCCTTTGAATCATGGCCGGCGGATATAATACTTTCTGCTGCTCTTTGAAAGTCTGTTGGTGTGAGTTCAGGGATAAAGAAGAGAATTTGGAGATGTGTTCTCAATTTCTTTTATATTTTTATTTTTATTTGGATTTTTTTTTTAATTTTTATATGGCTGAATTCATATTTTAATTTGGTTGATTTTGTTATGTTTAAAAAAAGAAATTTCAGTTGTAGTTTTTGAAAAGTTAAAGTTTTGTTTTTGATTTATGGTTTCGATTTTACTTCTTATTTAACCGAACGAGCCGAAAATCAAATTTTGTGGGTAATTTTCTTATGAAATGTTTCGGAAGTAAATTTTTTTAGTGATTACTATTACATAATAATCGCTTAATCATCTATATTTCGGTTTATGGAAGATCGAACTGTTCATGTCGAATTAAACTTTCGTTTGACTGGTTCTGTTTTGTCAAAATTTTATTTAGTTCGGTACTTTGAATATTGAGCACGAGCTTCATAAAAGATAGAAGAAACACTCGAACTACCAAGACACGGGGGCTTCATAGAAAACTCAGATAAACAAACAAACAGAACCCAAGAAGAAAAAACGAACATAACTTCAACTAACGAGCTAAAGCTTCACTGGGAAGAAGGAGAACAACTACTTATTCGATCGAGTTTTATTTTATAAATATTTTTTTTAAGAAAATTTGGCAATAATTTTCTTAGAATTTCTACATCTTCAAAATAAACTTTCCAATATAAATCTTTTTAAAAATAAAAAGAGAGCAAGGGTCAAAGTCCCAAAAGCAACCCAATAAGAAAGTTGCCACTAAGAGACCTAGAAAATTCTAAAATGAATAAATCAATAAGCTTTTTCTTCTATATTTTCTTATGGAAGACTTATATATATACCACACAATTTTTATGTATTTATATATGTAATGTCTAAACCTTAATTTTTTCATGCATCTCACCTTACATGTGCTTTAAGAAATGTGCTATATGTTTAAAAAGTTAAAATGGAGATATTGTTGATGTGATATAAATGATTTGGGTGGTACGATTATAACAAGCAATGCTTAGAAGTTAGATACGTCAACATATAAGTATTGGGTGATATGTATGTAAATGCTCTTTGATTTTGTTCTGATTTGGTAGAAGAGGAGAAGAGGTAACCTCACTGTGGTTCATTGAACGCCTGAATGAGAATTCCGTTAGCTATTGACCGAACTTAAGATAGAAGGCGTCTGTGCGAGGTAAAATTATTAGGTGCGGATTCCGCATGCAGATTTTGTTGCATTTTGGTTATATTGATTGTATTAATATAATCAATACAATAAATTTTGCATATACTTATTCTGTTCATAATAATTGGTCATGGGCGTGGGGCATTTTGTCTTATTAAGGTTCTTACTTAATTGCCTAAATATACATACTATTGAAACATGATTTGTCCGTGAATCACACTTAAGGAATATAATGCAAATAAAGAGAGATAGATGGAGAGGGAGGAATGAACAATAATCAATTGTGTCTTATATATAAAATATTTATTCTATTTATAGTAGGGGTTATACAATGATGATATCAAAATTTACTCCTTTGTTTGGATGGAGTCTGTACTAGGGTATTTTTGATATTTTACGTGTATAGGCTCATCATTTGAATGCCTTCAGGCTTGGCTGGCTAAACTTAGTTGGCTTCAGGTCCACATGATCAACTCGATTGGGTGAGCTTGATCAACATGGGTCAATCAGCTAATCAAATTTGATTGTCAATCCCTGATCCTTGGTGAACGATCCATTGGGGCGTTCATAGAATAGTTGGAGATATTGTAGAACTGAATCTTTTATTGAATCAACTCTACTTGAGAGTGTGTTATTGTATCAAATTGACTTTCTTGTAGTGGTTACTCGGATGCTCTTTTGTCTCATTTGTGGCTGAATAAATCGTGTGTCTGGATAATGCAGTCGTCTTCTTATCCGCTTCATGACAGGGTCGGTTTTTAACTTTTTGGTTTGGCTAACATGCTCTTTTGTCTCAATGATGAATGCTTGGATCTTCTAGTCGTCTACTTGTCCACCAATGCTTGGATCTCTTATATCTCGTTGGATCCCTTTAAGATTAGTGCTAACACCTTTTTTATACACACATATATTTTGGTTCATTATGATAATTATTTACAAGTTTATTTGATAATAGATCAATTATATGATTAAATTTATAAAAATAAGAAAAAATCTACATACATAACACACAATTGTTACGCACTTACATACCTAACATCTAAACATTCATATTTATATGCAATCACTCACTATCTTTCTCAAAGTAAACCACGCCTTATCATGCATATGTTTATGATACCAAAGTGCTATAAAGTGTAAACGTCAAACTTCACGTCTTATATTTGTAAATACATTAGAATTATGGGGTACATATGTAAATTTCCCATTTTATTTTGGCTAATGCCTATGCATTAAGTTCTACATTAAATTTCAAATGAGATGTAAATATTCAACTTATATTACATAATATTTCTCATCCGATAACATGAAAAGGGTTGTCCCTTGTGCATATTTTTCCCCTCCATGCTAAACGTGTTGGAGCTTGGTCCGCAGCTGTAAGTTGACGAAGAAAAAGTTCAGAGCAGGTGTAGAAAGGATTCTGCCCCCCAAAAAATGGAAAAATAATACATCCAGACTTCGAGCGTTTCGTAATAGTTAGGAATATCTCACTGTGTTACACGAATATTCTATCTGCATTATTTGTAAAAAATGAAGTGTTCTTCGAGTATTATATGATATTATTTGATTATTTTGCAGTGTTTTTGAAATATTCTTTCGCGTTACTTGATTTGAGGCTAAGTGTTACTGGAATATTCCCACGCGTTAACATAGTGTAAATTGAAATAACACAGGGAATATGCCGAATAACACAACCTCAAATCAAGTAATGCGGAGGAATATTTCATGACACCGCAAAATAATCAAATAACACCATATAATACTCGAATAAAAGTTATTTTTTACAAATAACGCAGATGAAATATTCCTGTAACACAACAGTATATTCCTAACTATTGCAATCTTAACAGCTCTATATTCAGAATCCTGATGCAATATCTTTTCCAAAACAAAACAGGGAAAAAAAAGCAAATATGTCATTTTATATTTGCAAATATAAAATATCACATCATGCCGTTTTTAAAATCTAAATTCAGTTATCATTACATAAACATATGAATTTGTGTAAATATAAAAAAGAAAAAATAGAAAAGTGACCTTTCCAATGCTTTCATATTCTACATAAACATCAATGTTCATTTGGGGAATTTACATACATACTCCACAACTCTTACATATCCATACATATCTAATGTCCAATTTCCATATTTCTTTACATTGGTACATATGTAAATATCAAAATTTAAATGTCAAAAATATAAACACATAAGAAAAATGTGACATTTATATAAACCCCCCCATTTCCTCCTCCTCCACATCTCAATTTACACAGCTCATCATTTGTGCAACACGAGCTGAATATTTTGCCAAGGAAACAGAAAAAAAAAAAGAAAAGTTTTGCAAAAAAAATTTTTTTTTTGCAGAAATATCCTCATGCAAACAGAATCTTGTGATTCAGCCATTAAACATTGTTAGGGTTCGGGACGAAGACGACTGTAGGGTTCATGAGAGTGGAGGGAGAATATATCAGCAGGAGTTTTCATGGATCTGTAAGTACCTGCTTTAAAATTCGCGCCTTTTGATTTTCTGAAGTTATGATCCAGATATACAACGACGACGGTTATGTCGTCATGGAAATGGCGCCTCACTCCTTTCTGTATTTTCTTCATGTCGCTGTATCTCATTTCCACCTTCTTTGCGGCCTCCTCGAGGGCAGCTCTCAGGAGCCGTTTTGCAATTCCCTGCAATTTTGTTTTGATGAGTCAGTTTAGAAATTTTGCTTTAAAATTCACACTTTTTTTTTTATTTATATTGGTTTGTGAATGCGTGATCATGTAAACACGTACATTAAATTATTATAAGATCGCATATAATACTACGTTTATATATTATATATATATATATATAATTATATTAAAAAGGAATGGATTGAGGCTATTATACGAGATCCGATCATTCCGATGCGCCTAACAATTCGAGTAACACACCCCCCACTGGGGGAATGGAACCCCAGACCAGAGCGGAGTTACATCTGACAAGCAAATACCCGACCAACTGACCTGAGTACGCGGTACTATAATATAATATAAATACAAAAAATTTATGAAGTCATGTAAGCAATAAAACCAATTTCTTTTAAGGATTTCATCTCATACATGCATACCACTTAATTCCCATGTATTTACATAACTGACAACTGAACTTCAATTCTTACGTATGCATTTCACTTTTTTAAAGTTGAAAATTAGTGGTATTTTTTGATGTGATATGAAAGATTTGGGTGGTATAAATACAAAAATTGAAGTTTCGATGTTAGATATGTAAATACTAAATACATAAAAAATGGTTGGTATTTATGGAAATACTAATAATTTAGTTGTATGGAAAATCAAAATTATGTGCAATTAAATCAGCTATTATCATGATATGGAACTTATCAGCATATTCTGAGAACCTTTTTCCCAATCTAAATATAAGAATTATGTTTCTCTGAAAGCAGGAGGGGTTGAGATTTGAAGAACTTACAGATCTTGGATGCTTGGAGACAATGTCAACAGCAGCAGCATCGGTTAGCTGCTCCCAAAAACCATCTGAAGCAAATATCAAGAACAAGTCATCTGGTTTCAGCTGGCGCATGAGAATCGATGGTTCAGCGGTGATGACGGACCGCTTCAAAGGGCTGGCCGGAAAGACGAACTGAGGGAACAGAGGGTCCCTGCTGAGCTCTGGTTTTTTCAGGTATGCGTCGCCGATCGACCTCGATACCTAAATAAGATAATTATGGGGAATGTATCAGTAATCTTATGAATTATTATCAGTTGAGATAAAGGTATTACTGCAAATTTGTCTGGCAAAGTAACAATTATTATTTATTTACGTATCTAACAACTAAAGTTAACACTTTAGGATCATTATCCATGCATGAGAAGGTGTATTTCGCTTTTAAAATGTTAATGATCGAGGTATTATTTTTGTGATGTTAAAATTTTGAGAGTTACAAATGTGAATATGAAAGTTTAGTAGTTAGATATGTTAAAAAAAAAAAAAATTGGGTGGTATGTGCGTAAATGCCATGTGGTTATAGCACTTGAAAATGTTGATGAAGTGAAGTTAACATGAGTTTTTGTTCTTGTTAGAGGTAAAGGATCATTTGTGCACAAACACAAAGTGCAATTATCTGATAATTGAAGTGGATTTTAATCCAACCCAAAAGCAAAAACATCATAGACTGCCTCAAATGTAAGTTCGATGATTTAATTTAATGAGGACAGAATGTTCAGAAAGTTGAGCATGGATTAACGAACACAAAACAGAAGATTCATGAAATATCAGCTGAATAATCCCCTTAATCCATCATGCACATCGAGTATGAACTACACGAAACCCATCCGTGCGTAGTTTGGATCCTCTTCCTGATCTCAACGTGCGCCTCAATTGCCCATCCTGAAATTTGAGATTTTTCTATATAATTCAGGCAATTATGTAATTGCGCCCACTCTCAATAAACTTTTTTGCCCATTACCGAAGAAAATTTTAGCATTTGGTAATTTTTCCCACCCTTTAGATTGAAGCAAGTTCCGCCCCTATTCTGGTGCCACGCTACTGCTAAACACTACCAAGGAGTTCCCCAAATTCTCCACATAACAAGTCAGCAAGATCCAACAAAAGAAATGTGTGGCTTATACGAGAACACGAGCTTCACCAAATGCTAGAACTCCTCTTTTAAAGTCAACATTAGCCTTCCTTGTCATGATTTCATGATTCAATGAGTCTTTTTAGCTTCGATCTAATAGTCTACCACCCATGTAGCTATTTACCCTTCAATAAGTTTTAAGAAACTAAACAAATTGGAGGAGTACACTTGTTATTAGATGACTTATTTGCACATAATTATTATGAGGTATTTACTTACAAACCACTCAACTCCTATGTATTTATATAGCTAACACCTAAAATTTGCTTTTTTTACATTTATACCACATAAATTTACATTTATACCACATAAATCTTTCATATCACATGAAAAATACCACTATTTTAACTTTTAAAAAGTGAAATATACTGATTAATCTCCATACATGATATCATAAAACCTCATATAGTCACTATATTAAGAATACTTGTAGATAATCCCAAATGTTAGGTGATTTCATTGATAATATACATCTAAAGCGCAGAAGTTAAAAGTCAATGTGGCATGATGGCAACATTAGAACAGCTTCTCCAAGAACTTCCCCAAATTCCTAGCGTGCCAAGTTCAAGATACCTATAATCCTAATGTGAATTTTTATTCCATGTTTTTATTAATTTGAATCATTTGAACATTCTAAAAAGTGAGAGCTAATAATCTAGAATTTAATGAATCAGTTGGAAGGTTTCCTCTAGGCTTTGGTGCACTTTTAGCTCCTTGTGTTTGGAACATAAGGAGAATAGATGTTTTAGATTTGACTTATGTTAAGAAAGGCAAAGGTAGATGGTTTGGTCACATTAAACGGCGACCATCGGATGATTCAATTAGGAGAATAGATGTTTTAGATTCGACTTATATTAAGAAAGGCAGAGGTAGACCTAGGAAGATTTAGGCTTATTGTATAAAAAATGATCTTAATTTATTAGAACTAAATGAAAACATGACACTAAATGGGACGCAATGGAGAAAAAGGATTCATGTAGCCGACCCCACGTAGTGGGATTAAGGCTTTGTTATTGTTGTTGTTGTTGTTGTGTTTGGAACATAAATTTCAAGTGCACTTTCTCTCTTTATGTTTGACAGCATATATGTCACAAGATTCAAATTCTCTCCAATTACTTGGCTAACTCTACTTTGTATAATTAGTCACCTTGGCCATCCGAAGATTATGCTTATTGAAAGCAAAGTGATCTTCATGAAAAAAATTGATTTTTATACTTAATATCATGGCCATCCAAATGGATTAGATGATCAGGATAGGAAATTACACAAAATGTAGTTATCACTAATCAATTAAAGATAATTGAATCCATCTATAATAGAGCAAGATTGAAGTAGCAACAAAACCAATGGTAAAATCATCATGGACTATCTCGAATATAAAAATGGTAACTTTCAAGCCATTGCCGGAATCAATGTTGCTGTGGTTCTTCCCCCTCTAAATTTGAGAGAATCGCATGCAACAGTGAAAATAAACTAAAGAAAACAAGATAGAAGATCCAAAAAACCTCACCTGAATAATCCCCTTAATCCGCCATACTCCTCTGGTATGAACAACTATATCAGAATCATCCGGGTGCATCTGTTTTAGCTCCTTCCTAATCTCCACATCCGACACATTGTGATCGCATGTCAATCGCTCCGCCACCACATCCTTTCCACTAGGGTTCGCGCAGCGGCCGAGCACCGCTCGGGAATCCCCCAAATTCGCCACATACAGCATATCCTCCGTTACGGCCCCAACCAGGCAACAAGTTCCAACCGAAGCAATCTGCGGCCTGTAAGGAAACGAACGCTCCACCGATCGTAAGAACTCCTCCTCGGTCGCAACAATCGCCTTCCTCATCACGTCAGCCGAAACCCCCTTCTGCTCCATAGCAGATTCTACACAATCGCAATCCAAAATCGAAATCAGAAAAGTAAAGAGGAAAGGGGATAGATAGGAGATTGGACAGTGATACTCACTGCAGAAGTTAGGGAAAAGCTGGTTGTTGACGAATCGAGCAGCTTCGGGTCCGCCATGGCCATCATAGACGCCGATGAAAGTCCCGAATGGGGTCGCGGCCACCTGACCCTGGTCCTCTAATGTTGAATTAGCCTGAACAACGGCAATGGAGAACTCGCCGGAGGTGTGGGGCTTTAGGTCTTGGTGCCAGAAAAGCTCGTCGCCGTAAACGATATCTCCGAAGCAGCGTTCAATGCACGATCGAAGCGTCGTCATACAGTCCGGTCTCCCCCTCCGAGCTCGATCGGCTCTTCTGCTATCTTCTTCTCTGTGCTCTTTGAAAAATAGGGTTTTGAGAAGGGAGGAGGAGGAGGGATTTCTCTTATATAGGGCGCGTCGGCGACACGGAGGTAGCTCCGGTCGTCTCTGCCGTGACCGTGAGTTGAGGTTTTCATGGGTGGATTCCTCTGCACACCACAGACGGCAAGAATTTTCAAAAAGTGGCATTTACATAAATACCATACAGTTCTTATGTATTTACATATAGCATATAAACTTTGTATTATTACATTTAGGGTTTGTTTCAGAGGGCGGGGTGGCTGGCTATTTGGTAAAGTTCGTTGTTTGGTTTGTAGATTCACGGCATAGCTTCAACGAAGCTGAGAGAAAGCGGGCCGCAAGATTAACACTGCGACCCTGCTTTCGCTCCAATACTTTTACCCTTTACCCCACATTTTTTCTCATCTACCTTCGCTGCTTCCCTGCTGCTTCTCTCGCGAATCCCCTGCTCCTTCTTCTTTCCTAACCTCGAATGACAAATCTCAGGTATGTCGAATCATCCTCTTCAATTGTTTTTGTGGATCTGAGGAAGATTATACGTTTTTGCGGCCCTGATGGCTTCTCCTCCTTATTTCTTTCTTGTTTCTATCATTTTCATTCTTTCCTCTTTTTTTTTGGTAGATCTGGAGTTTCACGTAGGGTAGCTAATTGATCCTTTTGGTTGCTTGTTAATATTGTTCCAGCTCTTGGTTTGTCACATTTATGATTGTTCCTGTTGCATGCTTTGATCCTGACACATTAGTGTTTTTTGTTAAATGCTTTGAAGAGTTCCTGGCACATTAGAATTGTGATGATCTTATGGTATTCGTTGGCTCTCGATTGGTATTATAGTACAGTCTTTTCTTAAACAGTTTTACAAAACAGGGACAGCATTATCATTTTTCTAGAAACAACTGTTCCACAGCTGTTTTCACGCAGCTGCACCAAACAGGCAGCCGGCTTTCCCACAACAACTATTTGGGACAACGCGGCTGCAACTAAAAAGCTAAGAAACTGTAGCTGCGCCAAACAGAGTCTGATTAACAAGGTCGTCCTCCTAAATCCAGCATGGGAGGGGCTAGGGCAAAACGAAGGGCAAACTGATATTTTTGGATAAACAAAACTAATATTTCAAAAGGAGCAAAAAAAAAAAAATTTTCTCCCATATAATTAAAAAATAAATACATTTCAAGTGGGGCACTCGGGACCCTTATTTGGGCCCGCCCCTGCATTTATACCTCCCAAATCTTTCATGTCACACTAAAAATATAACTATTTTCAAATTGAGTGGAATAAGACTTTTCATATGGAGTGAAGGGGGATGTATGAAAAAAATTGAAGTTTAGGAGTTAGATATGTAAATATGAAAGAGTTGAGTGGTATGTATGCAGAATTTATTAAATGAAATAATTGTAAGATATGAATCCATATTTTTTAATTATATGATCTACTTTGCGTGTGGAGAACAATTTTTTTTTTAATTATTATATTATATATTTAAATTTATAAGTGGCCTTTTCATTGATTACACATTATGCATGTATCTAAATATCTAAGATTTAACTTTCATATTTCATATATAAGATTTAAAACTTTAATATTATATAAAAATATTATTATTACTAAATTTTTAAAAATAAATACATGTATTTTGATATTTTGATTTATGACAACAAAGCGTTATAAATATAAATACCAGACTTAAATATTTAACTTCTCATTTGAAAAATATTTAATAATTAACTAATTATTGACACCGTCTAATATATTTCTCTTATCTTATCAAGCTAGGCTTATTTATGCACCGCTTCATTGTGGATGTCATCTCGAGTACTGAAATCAGTCCCTTCTTAATGAGCTTATTCATGAGCTTTAAATGATATTGTTCACTATCATGACTAATTAGAGTAATGAGTTATTTAGCTATGTTCATTTAACAAATGAGTGTTTGTAAGCATATAACTATTTATTTGAATAGTTAGTCAAGTAATTAAAAATGAGTGGTTGAAAGTTTTCGTTTAATCGCCAACAATCACTCTTTTTCCTCTCTATTATTTATTTATTTTCCATCAAAAGACTTATCTTAAAGGTTTGTAATGCCTTAGTATGGGTTGAAATTCTTTATAACTTACAAAAGAAGTACAACATGCCTTAGTATGAGATCTTATAAATTAATCCAAATTAGCTCAATTTGGATTAATTTTGATTTTTCTACCACTATACCATACCAAACCTCTCAACATTCCATCTTAAGACTCCAATTCTCTTTTCTAGATATTGAAATAAAGGTTTATAGCATTCTTTATCATGTAATCTCATAAAACAACCACTTATCACCATCATACCTATAGTCTCTTTATTGTTAGGTTGGTATCCTAAAATGTTCATCCTCCATCATCTTGACATCCTAGAGAAGTCCTATTGTCTTACATAGTATTCATGTTATCTTAATGCACCCTTTTAATTAGCTCAACATGCAAGAATCATCATTCACTTTCTTATTAATAGCTAGACATTTTAGTGCTAGTTACAAATAAATTTCATTAACTAGATATCTTAAAATCAACGTTCACAGCTCGTCGGCTGCCGTCAACTACCATCGGCTGCTGCCTACTCGTCATTGTTGTTGAACCCTATAGTGTAATGACACACTCTGAATAGGATTTAACGATGTATCCTTAATACAGTGTAATGAAGCACCCTAAATATGATGTAATGATGTACCCTAAATATGATGTAATGATGCACTCTGCCTATATTGAATAATATACCCTAAATATAGGATAAATAATAACTCCATACCACATATCTGATGATAATTCCCTGCATCAACTAGTTACAAGTAAGGTAGTTAGAACACACGACTTTCTTCAAACTCCCGAAGTTTTCTATTTATGTTGTATATCGATAAGTGATGTCTTTGTTACAACCACCTATCGAGCACCAACTACAACCTTGGTGGCAAACTAATGTCATTACAGCTCCCCACTACAGTCTACGTGACCAACTCTGCTTATGTCGTTCACTACTAATGTAGCTTCCAACAACGACCTCAATGTTCAATTGATGTTATGGCAGCTTCCCAATATGTTCTACGTGACCAACTACGACATTTTTGGCTCCTGCTTGTATAACTTACAACTATGACATTGGTGGTTAACTGATGTTATTATAGTTCCCAACTACAACTTACATCACCAATTATGATCTATGTGGCTCACTGCTCATGCAACTTCAAAATATTGTCTCGGCGGCCAACTGATGTTATAACAGTTCGTCACTATGACCTACGTGTCCAACTATGACTTACATGACCAATTGTTGTTATTACATCCTCCAACTACAATTTCAGTGGCCAATGATGCTATTACAGCTCATCACCATGACCTATATGACCGACTACAACCAATGTGACTCACTGCTCATGAAGTTTCCAACTATGATTGACCAACTATTTTATTACAACTCTCCATTACGTCCTATGTGACAACTTATAAGGGCTACGCGACCAACTGTTGTCATTACAACCTCCAAGACCTCAGAGGCAAACATATGTTATTAGAACTTCCAATTACATCTATTGTGGCCAACCGATATTGTTATAGCTACCGTATACACCATTTATGGCATATCACTACCTTCATAGCAATCAACGACAATCTTTACAACCCACTATCGCTATTATCGCTAAGAACTACAGTTCGATTGTGGCTATTATCGTTTAACCATTATTATACATCTATTACACAATTTATCTTTCATAATTCAACAGAAGAACAAATTTATACATTTACAATCACGTAGTAGATTATTTTAACTTGGCCAGATCCCGCAATTTTTTTCAATTGTCAGGATTTTTCAAGTAAAATATCTTGTCGACTCCTCTTTTCGTACAACGCTAAGACGTTAATAATAAATCTTCGAGCATGCAACAAGGCTATATATTTATATCATTAGCTCCTAATACAATGATTTAGACTTAATCAAATCTCAATCATAGCTCAAATTTAACAAGAAAATAAATGACTAGCTTTGAATAAAATGTTCAAAGCTATATTGAAGCACACTACAAAAGCAACAAATGCAAGAGTTTGAAATATCAGTCATCATTTTCTTCATTTATAGTCTTAAATATCACTTAAAAGGAAGGTTGATGATGTGCATGAATGATACAATCCAATATGACAGACAGCTTAACGTGTAAATTGAATTATTAAAATTAATTAAATTATGTGGACTATAGAAAATATAACATAAAAATAACTTAATTAAATAATTAATAATTATATTATAAAAATCAACAAATTATTTATTAATATCTAAATGTTAGATTAAAAATTAAAAAAAAAGGTGTAAATATCAAAATTTTAAATATTTGTGGGATGAAATTGTGAAATTATTAAGAAGTGGAGATTAGAGGATAATGATAATATTAGATATTTATTTATTTATTTTTGACAGTGATGAATATGTCCATAATTTGGGGAAGGATTAGTTGTAAATAAAGTAATTAATATCTTAATTTTTTAATGATTTTTTTCTTAAAGATTTACAAACATACCAGTTAATTACAAGGTATTAACATATCTAAATAGGGCTGTCAAACAGTTCGTGTTCTGTTCGTCAATGAGTTCGTGTTCGATTCGTTCGATAAGTAAACGAGACGAACGTAAACAAAATTTTTTTTCGTTTGGTTAGTTAAACGAACCAAACGCGAACAGTGATGCGTTCGTTCGTGTTCGAATCGTTGTTGTTCGAAATATAAAATAAATTAAAATAATTATATATGAAAAATTTATGATATTTTAAAAAATTAAATTTTATAAATTATAATATATAATAAATTAATAATAATAATAATATTAATATACTATATTATTATAGGAGAAGAAGAAGGAGAAGAAAGAGAGAAATAAAATAAAATAAAAAATGAAAAAATAAAAAAATAAAAAATAAAAATAAAATCGGAAGAAGGGAAAGAAGAAGAAGGTTCGACTCATTCGTTAAGAAACGAACATGAACAGTGGCTTCATGAACAATTTCAAACACGAGCTTATTTCAAGCAAACTAACCGAAGACAAACACAAGCTATGTTCATTCGCGTTCGGCTCTTTTACACCCCTATATCTAACCATGAATTTTAATTTTC